CTATGTAAATACAAATCAAAAGAGAGCTGGTGTGACGATATTACATCAGACAAAATAAAGTTCAGGCAAAGAAAATTACCAGAGATAAAGAGGGACATTAAATAATAATTAAAGAGCCAATTCACCAAGATGACACAACAATTTCAATGTGTTTTCACCATAGAAAAGAGCTTCCCAGTACATAAATGAAAACTCCGGGAACTGTCTAGAGACACAGACAAACCTGTAGTATGTAATTATTCGGAGATTTCAACATGTCTCTCCCAGTCACTGAGAGAATCAGGAGAGAAGTCAACACAAATATAGAAGAAATAAAGAACAGAGTCATGGATCTAACTGACACGTAGTATACAACATTCCACCCAATAACTGCAGAATACACATCTTTTTCCCCCAATTAAGCATGGTGCTGTAGCTTGGGTTATAAAACCAACGTTTACATATTTTTAAAAAATTGAAATAATAAAACATATGTCCTCTGACAACAATGGACTCAAACTGGAAATCAGTAACAGAAAGAAAACAGGACAATCTGCCAATACTTAGAAATTAAACAACTCATTTCTTAAACAAGGGGAAAGGTTTAGAAGTGTAGCTTTGTAATTCTGTGACTAATCCTGTCACTTCATGGTGCAAACTGGGTGTATCTCCAGAAAGTGCTGAAACCTTCTCCATCTGGACTTTGAATACATTACAGGCTTGTGTTTAAAGTGCTCCAGGATCTTTCTAGGGAAAGGGGAACCAATATTTGTTGGCACCTACTATTAGCTCTATTAATATTGACCATTCACTGTTTTATTTAATGTTCACAACTACCTGTCACAGTCTTGTGTCTCAGCAAAGTAGCAGCACTGAGAGGCAGGGAAGCAGCTGAAGATTCTTGGCAAAGTGCTGGATGTTGGAGGGAATTTTAAGGAATCCAGAGTGGCCACAGCTAGAAGCCCTCATGGCAGATGAATGTAAAGAAGTAGAAAGAAGGTACAAGAAGGGTTCCAAGTGGCTCCCTAGGGAGTCTGAACTCTGGGAAGCAGCAGGAAGCACTAAGCGAGTCTAAATGACACTTTAAATGACTACTTTAGTGAGAGTGGATTGCAGGGCCAGGAGGCTGAAGGTGAGGGGCTCAGTCCCTGTGGGGAGGGAGCAATTAAATTTAAAAGTGGTGAGGATTTAAGTAGTAGTGTCACCATTTTCACATGGGAAATGGAGTCTCCAAGAGGGAAAGTTAGCATTTTTCCCCGAGGATAATAATACTAAAGAGACACATTGAGTATATTATATAGAATGTCCCAGTAATATGCAACATGACACACAATTAAATGACTTACAAAACGTTCCATGTCTGGTGCACTTAAATAGTAGAGTTTACAGAATTTCATTCCTAAAATGGGCAGGTGGTTTCATGCCAGTTTATGGCAGGAGGCTGAGGATCAATGCCCGGTGTATCTGGGTGCTGGCTTTACCATCAGAGCCCTGCCCTCAGTGCCCAGACTGGCCCTTGCCCTGCTGGTAAGGGGTCAGGAGGCACCCAGGCACCTTCTCCTGCTCATACCCGCTGAACCAGTAGGTTCCCCTTCTCAAAGTCCACATGGAAGAAGTTGCACAGGAAGGGCAGCTGCAGGGGCCCAGGTAGGTAGTTCTTTGGCGCTGCCTTTTGAAGAAATCAGCAAAGAAGGGAAAGGTGATGGCATGCAGCAGGAGGGTGAGGGGACATTGCATCCTCCAGGGGGACTTCTGAGAAGAGGACTAGCCCTGTGGTCTCTAACACTGAGCTCCCAACACTGCCCCCTTCCCCACCCCACCCACCAGGGCTCTTCCAGCCCTTTTCACCCCAGGCTCTGCCTTGCCCCTCCTCTGCGGTGCCTCACTACCTTGGCTCCAGTGTTGTGTAACCCAAGGGGCTCTTTCCCAGGTTCTGCTGCCTGCTGCTCCCCACCTCAGTACACCTCCACCTGCTCCTACTTTTACTCCACTCCACCCAACTGGCCTGTGGCCTGCCAGATGACAGGTGCCTGGTTCTCAGGAGAAGACCCTTGGGTCCAAAGAAATGAAGTTAGTATATTGAAGAGATATTTGCACTCCCAGTTTTCTGCAGGATTGTTCACAAAAACTAAGACACGGAAACAACCTAAGTATCTTTCAATGGGTGAATTATTAAAGAAAATAAAACATACACAAACACACACACACACTGGAATTTATTTTTTTAGCCTTAAAAAGAAGGAAATTCTGCCATTTGCTAAAAGGGTGAACCTAGAGGACATTATGCTAAGTAAAACAAGCCAGACAGAGAAAGACAAATGCCACATTATCTCACTTAAATGTGGACTCTAAAAAAGTCAAATTCATAAAACCAGAGGGTAGAACCATGCCTGTGGCTTGAGGGTGGGGGACATGGGAAGATATTCATCATGGGTACCAGGGTTCAGCACGTGGGATAAATTCTGCAGATCTAATGTACAGCATGGTAACAAGGGTTAATAGTGTTTCGTATAGTTAAGATTTTCTAAGAGGACAGACCTTAAATGAAATCTCACCTCTCACAAGAGTAACTACAGAGATGATGGATAAGTCATGTAGCTTGATTGTGGTGATCTTCCACCTTGTGGATTTTACATATGAAACAAGTTGTACATATTGAACATACAGATAAGTAACTCAAAGTCTTTTAAATTGAAATAAATGAAATTGAATTAAAATTTATTAATAAAGTTGTTAAAATTGCTCAATTGAAGTGTTTGGTGATTCCAATGTCTGGGCTTTTTCAAGGAGAGTTTCTACTGATTGATGTTTACCCTGTGTGTTGGCCATATTTGCTTGTTTCTTTACATGGTTCATAAATTTTTGTTGAAAATTTGACCTTGTAAGTGATACAGTGTGGGAACTCTGGACATCAGGAACCACCCCGGGTCTGTTACTTTTATCGTTGTTTTTGATGTTACTTGTTTAGTAACTTTCATGGACTAATTCTGTAAAAGTTCGATCCTTCATCACATCAGGCCCCTGGATGCTCTGGTGTTAGCAGCGGGTCCAGCTCATGTGTGCACAGAGGTCTCCTCAAAGGCCTGAACCAACAGGTCTCTCAGGGCTCTGCGTGTGAGACGGGTGCACCGTCAACACTCAAGCAGGTGGGCCACACTCTGTCTTAGCGCTAATTTCCTGCTTGTGCAGAGGCTCCAGGACAGCCAGAGATGGGGGCACCAGTGCTTGTCGGGTCCCTCCTGGGCACACACACAGCCCGTGCCGGTGGGTAGCCTTCTAGGTTCCCGGGGATATGGCAGAGCTTGCTGAAGCCTCAGTGGGCACCTCCTTCCCCCGTTTTCCCTTTTAATCCTCTTGGTAGCAGATCTGGTGCTGCCCCCTCAGGTTCCTGCAAGGCTGTACAATTGCCCTGATTTATTTGAACACATGCCTTGTAGAGTGAGTGGTTCATACAGACTGGATTTGGAGGCAGGTCAAGTAAACACAAGTCTGAGAGTGGGGACTTCCCAGGGAGTTGCCAGATAGAACAATAGTGACCTCTGTCTAGACACCAACCTTTGAGGCGCTCCCTCCAGTTCCTGATTCGTGCCTGGTGTTCTCAGCTACTATAGTTGCCAGGCTGTTGCTTTTCAAGGAGACTACAGAGCTGGGGAGAGAAAAACTGGAGTAGGGCAAGTTAAATACCACAAAGTTCACTGTTCTTCCTGAGATTCAGCTGTTTTTAGTTTTATTTTTCCTTTAGCAAAAGCATAGATTGTTACAAGACTGTTTGCAACAATTGTAATTACTGGAAAAACTCTGGTTAAAATACAGAGTCTGGAAATGTTGATTTTGAAAACTTTCGTAGTGTTCTTTCTGCTTTTATGGAGGAATAGATTTTTTGAAGGTCCTTACTTTGCCATTTCGGTGGTTCTCTCCAGTGGTCAGATTTTTCAGAAGTAGAAGGGACTTTAACAAGCAGTCTTTGAAGTTCCCATCTTTCAGAGTGTCTGGTGAAGGCTCAAAGGGCTACTGCATCGCAGAAGAGACTCTTAGACAGGCTGCAAGGTAAATCTGTCTGCTCTGCCCTAGTTAACTTGTCTGCCCACTCTCCACACCCCCTGTCCCCAAAAAGCTTGTGATTGACCTGGGTTCTTTGATTCTTTAAGCAATAGAAGTTGCTAAGAGGCCAGATGAGAAATTCAAGCAAGGCTTTATTGAGACTCAGGCTGCAGCACGAGGGGGCGAAAACAAGTAACTGGTTCCCTTGCTTGCTCCCTGAGGGGAGGTGAACTGGTCCCTTAAAGGGGGTGAGGGTAGGGGCAGATAGTGGGTCCACCAGGCAGGGAGGCTTAGGTGGCCTGCCCACCCCCTTGATAGCGCTGTGTGCAGGGACCGTGGGCAGAACAGGGCTTTTGCCCCTGACACCTCAGAAGTGCTAGTTGGGTTTGGCCTTTTTGAATCTTGTTCAAAATCTGCCCCAACTGCACATGCAGTTATTTTCATTCCCTTATAGTTTCTTTGTATTCTGTTGCTCAAGGACAAGTTTGTCCAGATGCAAGCACTGCAGTATAGGGTCCCAAGTTCCAGTCTAGTTCAGGTTCAACAAGCATCTACTATGTACAAAATCTGTTAGGTCCTGAGCCTAGGTGAGCAAGGCACATGCCTTCTGAAACACTCAGTGCAACTAGGAGATTGCATGGAAATAGGAGATTGAAATTTTGAATAAATTTCTCAGAGAATGGAGGAGGGATCAACTAACTGACTGAGACAGTCAAGAAAATGTTACTGAAGAGGTGGCATTTAAACAGGGTCTGCTGGGTGTAATTAGACATTTCTTACAGAAAAGATATATAAAGACAAGAAGATGATAAAGGACCTGGCCTGTGGGGCATTGATAGGACTTCAGCAGTTTGACAGGAGAAGTACTAAGAGATGTGACTGAAGAGGTGAGCAGGTGTCAGATCACAAACCACCACGTGCCCAGCTAAGGAGCAGGCCACACACATGGCTGTACACGGCCCACCTTTGATGATGCTGCTCACGTGGACCACCTGTGATGGTGTCCTGGGGGTTGACAAAGGGGCAGCCCCACTGAAGGATTTATAAGAAGTCTGTGGTCAGTAGGCAGGAGAGTATATTGTTCTATGAACTCAGTGAGGAAAAGATCAAATGGTCTAGAAAAAAAGGTACAGAAATTACTGGAATCTTCCTCTGAAAAATAATAACAGCATTACAACTACAGACAGCATATTTGGTCATCTTAGCAATTAAAATGCCAGTTTAGGATAGGTTATGCTGTGATAACTAAGGTTATGCTGCAGTAATTAACCATCCCAAATCCTAGTGGCTCACAGCAAAACAGGTTAATTTTCACATCACATGTCCACCCTGAATCAGCTATGACTCTGCTTCTTGTCCTTGTCTCCTGGGTGTAGGCTGACAGACACTTATCTGGGTTGTCGCTGGTCTCATGGCAGAGAAGAAAGAAATATGTTGAACTTTTAGCTGGCTCTTAAGCATTCAGAAGAGAGTCTTGGAACTTTTGCTCTCATTTTATTGGCCAAAGCCAATGACATGGTCTTTCCTGCATCTATCAGGGTGGTCAGATACAATGGTCCCACGGGGAGAAGCACCACAAAGCATGGCAACCCAGAGAAGTAGATCGTTAACCCAATCTCATAATTCACAGCAGGTTTTATTCCTCTACGTTGCAGATTAGGAAATGGTTTCAGGAACGTAAAGCAACCTGTTTAATGTGCAATCAAAAGCCAATGAATGAAAAAACCTGGAACTGATTTCAGGGAAGCCTAGCTCCACAGCCCTGACCCTGGGTTCATAAGCCACATGCTACCCACTTGAGTCTTTTAATGTTATTTCATGTGCAACAGAGCCCTGCGATAACTGTGGACACTGAATGTATTTGAAAAAGGGAAGCCTCTGTTCTGACCCTGACTGTTGTAACAGGCATCATCAGTGACTCAGTACCAGCCCCTGAAAGTGACCCTTTGCATCTGAGCCTGTATTCATGCTTAATTTCTTTTCTATTTCAAAAGCAGAGGGAAAGATTCTTAGGTTTTCAGAGCAGTACAGGTAGAGCATGGTGAATGTGCAAAGACACAGCGTGACCCAGATAGTACAAAATACCCATTCAGTGACATCACTCTTTTCTGCAGAAACAAGCATGGGGAAATGGAATAGGTGGCCCCATTCCACGTTTAAGAAGGAGGAACCAAAGGCTTGTTTTAAATGTGTTGCTCAAAGTCACAAAAAGAGTAGAGGGGAGACAACCCCAGTGTCCCTGGACATGTATTTCCGGTCCCCACCTTCCCTCTTGGTAGCTTAGCAATAAACAGGCTTGAATGATCTCCAGGTGAGAAGAGCCTGACACAGGGGGAGACCTCTGGAGTTCCTTGTTCTAACATGGAAACTCACCCAGGAAGTTGTCATTGTCACTTAGTCACCTAGCCAGCCCCCGCCTCCTGTCTGTAAACCCACGGGGCACTGAGAGGTGGCCCCTCTGCTGATATTCCATGTATGGTGTACGTATTCCAGCCTTGCCCTACCTGGACACATTTCCATACACACTGAGAGTATCCTGAGTGTCCTGCTCCGTCTCTGCTTGTAAGTCCTCCAACCTCCAACCTGATTTTAAACTTACACTGCAGTGTGTGTGTCTGTGTCTCTCTGCAGGGCAGGGGTGGAGGAAGAGTCACAGCCTGGGCGGTTTCTCAGCAAAATCTGTGCCTTATCCATGAATCCACAGGAAATGTAATGTGCTTGCACACCGTGTGTCAGACACTGATACGAAGTGACAGGGAAAGGGGCCCTGGAGCTTCCAAAATAGACAAGGAATAAGAGAGCTACAACGTGCAGAGAACAAAATCTATGTCGTGTTTGGACAGGAAGAGAGTTCATACTTTAGAGTCTCTCCAATGAGCTTTGAGTTAAAAAGAAGACATTCAGTTACTCCCAGTCATACATCCCCAAGGTTTCTCATTAAATGTGGTCACTCTGTATTTGGCTCTAGGTCCCAGTGCATCCCATAGGTCAGGATGAGTGTCCAGGGGTTTTACATTTATTCCACAGGGAGAAGGTAAATACCTGCCCTTCTAGAATCATGGAACATGCGCAGCAGACAGCAATGGAACTCAGAGATGACTTCACAAAGTCCTTTACTTTACAGATGAGGAAATGGAGACATAATTGAGAGTACGTTGGCCAATTTCTCAGTCTCCCACAGGTCAATGGGTGGTCTGACTGGGGGTTGCTGACAAGGTCTCAGAATTTCAGGCAGTTCAGGGCCTGACTGGGCTGGTTTTAGTCGAGAAATATCAGTTGGCGTGTTTTCTAGAGATGCAACTTTCCAGGAGGTTGCAAAGAAAGTGCACACAGAGGGCTGGCCAGGGTTCTCACTCTCTGTTCCTCTATCAGACAGGAAGGACTAACTCCTTCTCCTTCAGGCTGGGACACACAACCATTTCTTCCAGACATGCTCTGGTTCTCCCTGACAGGCTCAGGCTAGCTCTAGCCAAACTCCCTGTTCCTTTCCTCCTTCCCTCTCTCTCCCTCTCTTCTCCCCATTTCTCTGTATTTATCTTTCCCTTTCTAAAGTGCCCATTGAACTGACTTATCTGTGAATCCCAAGCAACAGGGAAAAAAGCCCCATGGCTGACTTTGTTCTGAGCTATTCAAATTACTTAGGTCTAAGAGCCTTAGAAAAAGACATCTTCTATATAGTCTAGTCCAGTTCACCAGGTTTGATTGTTTGCTCGCATCAGGTTTGGTATCAAAACTCCATGGGCTATCAGTTGTACCAGGCCTTGCAGTTTATGGCCATTTTCTCCCCATCAGTGACCACACACAGGAGGATGGAGCTGGATTCTGGCATTTCCAGTTCAGTTCTATAAACTACTCCATCATGGCTTACTTGAGTTTAGACTGGTAATAACTTATCAATCAATCAAAAGCTGACAATTAATTTTGGAGAAAAGATCACAGCCATCACTTTGTTAAGTCCAAATTGAAATGGCTTGGGAAGAAATGCCTGAGGGAGGATTTAAAGTAGGAAGGCCCCTTAAGGACAGAAAATATCTCCACATTTGTCCCCTAAACCTGCTTTCCGTGTTTGGTTAATTTTGGTCACACTCTTTTTGGTCCACGTCCAATTCCAAGGCAGTGTCTCCTTAGGTGACCCAGAGAGGCTGCTTCCCATAGAAACCAGCCATGAAAGGGAAACAGGCCCTGCCCTGCTCACTCCCCAGGGGCCATCTTGAGGCAGAAGCAGGAGAAGCTGCACAGAGCTACCAAGTGCCAGGGCTTTGCTGGCCGACCTCTGCGGCCTTCCCAGGGTCCGACTGCTAACTCTCATCCACCATTTGCCCAAGCCATGTGAACAGCCCATAAGAAAATCTCCCATGAGGAAGGAAGCAGGAAGGAGGAAGATCTCAGCTATACCTTCTATGATGTGCCTCATGATTTCCAAATCACTTAAAGTTCATTATTTCCTATGGTTTTTATAGCAATTCTTCCTTTAGTGAAAAATCATTATCCTCTTTTCATCTTCTGGGTGAAAAGGCAAATCACTTATAACATAACTAATTCGCTCAGGGCTAAACTGGGGATGGGAAAGCTGAGGGTGGATCCAGTTTCCTCAGAGTCCAAGTCCTAGGACCTTCCTCAGAGGCAGGTCATCTGCTCCTTCACTTCTCAGCAGGCAACAGTGCCTTGCAGGGACCTGGGGATTCCTCCTGCTTTCCCTCCCCCCGCCTCCCGGACAACCTCATGCCCGGGGAACAGCACAGATGCGGTAGGTCACTGGGGAGAGGCTCAGGCCCGTTTTGAACTTGAGGCTCAGCTTCTCATTGTCTGGAGGTCTGAAGGTGAATTTTTGCACAAGGTAAGTAAAGAAAATGAACAACTCGGACCTGGCCAACTGCTCTCCAAGGCACACCCGCTTTCCTGAAAGACAAAAATATAAGACAAGTTACCTTCTCAGGTGGTGTCTGTGCCCAGCAACGACTGAAACCTTCCACCACGTCTTGCAAAACCTGAGCAAAGGGAGGGCCTGCTGGGCCCTGGGGCTTGATGGACTTGGCTTATTTAATCAAAACCACCTGAGTTAAAAAAGGCACAGAAAGGATCAATTCACACTCCAGTGCCTCCAAGGGGCAGGCAGGTGAGCACAGGTGTGAAGGTTCAGGGTGTGGATGAAAGGAGTGAGATCTGGGTTGACTAATAATAAGTGGAGTCTGGCCCGAAGTCCTTCAAAAATCCAGTAGCACACAACAAAGACAAAAACCCAAACCTTGTGTTATCTTTTTTCAATTCCTAAAAGCAAACTGATAAAAAGGATAAGCAAGTAAATGTCAGAGCCGAGTTCTCAGGTACAAGGCACCTTTTCCCTACATCAAGTTTCCCTTCTTAGTGGTTGGGAATCTCCCTGCCATGGTCTCCCACCCCCTGCCCCGTGCAGGGCAGATCTTTTCTCATCCCCGCTGTGCTCTGACACCTGCTCCAGGCTCCTTCTGTCCCTCCCCTTCCTGAATGCCCTCCTTGCCCCTTTTGGGCTACAATACCCCACACTGGTCTCTGCCACCATGTCTCTCTGCCCCCAGTGGTGCACCCTAAGGGGAATTCAGGGTGGAGAAAAACAGGATATTGGTCCCAGAGTGTAAAGATGAATTTACAGGAATAATTTCAAAGAGTTCAGACTCTTGCACTAAAATCATTAACTTGGGATAACTGGATTTTTTCTTTTTCTTTTTTTGATGATGAGCAGTAAGATTTTGATGTTTCACTACATTTTTTTTGTCTGTTTGCTTGTTTGTTTTGTTTTGTTTTTTCAACAAAAACTTCGTATCATGACTCTTTCCTTACCTCTTGGAAAAGTCCCTAGGAGCTATGAGACCACCTTCTCTGGCTACAGTCCTCACTAATACCCCAAACGAAACATAATTCTGAGCATTTTTTAAGAATTTGACACTGGAGACATTTCAACAAGAGCAGAGCACTCTAGGGAAAAGAGGAGATAAGGGCTGAGAGAGGGGCTCTGGGTCCCCACACTATTTACTGCAACTCACCTACTGAGAAAGGCAGAAAGGCTTCCCTTTTCTTAAACTGTCCATTCTCCAGAAAGTGCTCCGGATTGAACGTGTCTGGGGTGGCCCACTCTGCAGGGTCCCTGTGCAGTGCAATCAGGTTGGTCATGACCACAGTTCCCTAGAAAAGTCAGCAAAGACTCAGGCAAGGCTTGACCCATACAACACACCTGTGCAGACGGCAGGCATCCCCTGGGCTCCCACACCAAAGTCTGATATCACCCTGAACCCCCTCAACCTCCTCAACTCACTACCCTCTGAGTCCAATCCCTAGGACCCTGCTCTTTGCCAGGGGACAGATTATAATGGTGGATGGAAGTGTCTGCTGGGAATTTTACCAGGGAAGTGTGACCATTCATTACTGTCAAATGGATCTCTCCAGGGACATGTCAGTGTAGAACTTGGGAGGGTACATGTGTGCATCAATGAGAGAATAATGTGACAGCTGGCCAGTTAATATTGTCCCAAAACCAACACAGCTGCTCCCTGAACTGAAAACTATGCTCTTTCAAGGTAAAAATGCCTCATGTATCTTTCCCCCAATCTCTTCCCTCCAATGTCTAGGTCATCCACAGAAGGTTGAATAAGAGAATCAAGTCACCCTGTGAAGGAACCACTATCCATCCAGGTACATAGCAAGTAACCCAGGAGTCCCCCTTAATACCTCCCTTTCCCTCATTCTGCCTTCATCCAATCCTTCAACAAGGCTGGTCAAGATTACTTTAAATTTCTCTTGATTCTGTCTCCTCCATTTTATGTCCACCACTGCCACCCTAGTCCAGGCTACCCACCTTGCTTCCCTAAATAGCTGTTTAACTGCACCCCATACCCTCACTTTTTGTTTCCATGTGCTCCTCATGAGGAAAGCAGTTTGCTACAGAGATTTTCTCACAGTTTCTCAAAGTTACCCCATGTCCTCATTAATTTCCATGCCTTTCATAAGCTGTTCACCTTGCATGGAATATCCTTTCTTCCCACTTTGTAACCAAGTTAACTCTTAATTAGCCTTTAATACTCAGTTCAAAAATCATTTTCTTTTGGAAACTTTCTGCCCACTCCTGCTCCCACTCCCCATTCCAGTTAGCCTGATTTTTTAGAGAATCCAGTGACTTTTTTCTGCTGGGCAGTTTTCATGGTTTGTACCTATAAACTTGCATGATTGTTTTCCTCAGAGTTGTTTTCCCAGACCTATACATTTTAGGTGCTTAATGAACATTTGTTGAATTAATAAGAATAAGAACTGTTATTTGGAGTACTTTTAATACAAAGCACTAAATTAAATATTTTACATGCATGACTTCACTTTTCCTCCACCTTGGAGGTAGGTTTAAAAGCATTTTTCAGATAAAGAATTTTTATTTCTGAGAGTTTGAATAAAGTGTCCAGAGTGACAGGGTGGGAGGAGTTAGAACCATGATTTGAACTAGGGCATTTGACATCAATGCTATGGCTCTGAGTCTCTACAATAGACAGTCAACGAGATGTCTCAGTTCCCAGGATGATTATTCTAGCAGATATTAAAAATGAGTGGTGATAGGACTATTGAGCAGAGCCAGACTGATGGAGCTAAATGACAGCTATTAAAACTCAAAGAGCACTGGTGAAATGATTTAGACCTCAGCCTCTACCCACAAGAAGGTCGATCAGTAAGAAAAAAGCAAAGGCAATACCAGCAGGAATAGCTGCTTTTCCTGGCTCTGTAGGGAAGGTGAGATCGTCCCCAGGTAAGACACTCACAGAGGGACTGAGACAAATGGAGATGGATCCACAGAGGCCCAGCAAAGTGGTGAGAAAGCAAAGGAAGTGTAAGTGTGCAGTGTGCAGACAGGATGCTAGGGAGTACAGGGGAGCGGTCTGCCCAGATCCTAAGATTAGGGGGTAGAGTGAGAGCAGAATTTCCTCAGTTCAGTATTTGCAGATACACACTAGTATACGTAAAATGGATACACAGCAAGGTCCTAGTGTAGAGCACAGGGAACTATATTCAATATCTTGTATTATGTATAATGAGAAAGAATATGAACAGGAATGAATATATATATATGCTATATATAATATATATATATATAAACCACCATGCTATATAACAGAAATCAACACAACATTGTAAATCTACTATACTTCAATTAAAAAGAATTTTAAAAATAAAATAAATGAATTTTCTTTGTGAGAACAAGGAATTTAAGTGGGACCAACTGAGAAGTATTGCAGGGGGATTCTTTTAATGTCAAAGAAAAGCAACTCATGTGGAGAGAACATTTGATTGAAAAAAAAGATGAACCTCCAAATCAGAACAGATCTGGTTCTGGAACTCAACTCTTACCACTTGTAGTTGAGAGATCTTTTGCAAGAGTAGTCACTCTCTGAGCCTGGACTTCAAATTTATAAAATGGGAAGAACAAAATTATTCTGAGGACTGGTCAAGACATTTTCAAAGAACCTAAATAATCTACATAATCGCCGCTTAATGAGCACCAGTTCCTTTCTCTCCTATTCTGATCCTTAATACTGTACACACCTGGATTGGCTTCCCTTGTGTGTTGATAGCTCCATCACTGCGCTGTCAGCCAAAGCTGGATAAATACCCTAAGGGCTATTATATTAGAAAAACCAGCATGAATGTGATGTTGGTTCACGAGGTCTCAAGAGTCCCTTCATATTTCAATACTGTATAAGCCCAAGATTGTAAAGCAGAACTTTCCAAAATCTAGGAGGTCCCTAGCCCTGTGAGAAGCTCTATCAAGGCAAAGAAAAAGAACTCATGTCAAAGTCTGACTGAGAGCTGCTCTTGCTGTCTCCCCACAAAGAATCACAGTGCACATCACATGGTCAAAACACTGAGAAATCTCACAGTGAAGAAAAGTGAACTATATTTGATCCAGGAACCCCCTTCCCCTCCACAACACCTATTAACATCTAGGTGAACTAATGTTCTAAGGAACACTCACAGAGAAAATACATAGTATTACATCAGGCCTAACACCTCTCTGCTCAATTAAGTGATTCCCTAGGACAAGAATCCATGTCACTTTCCCAGTAGAGAGTCCCACCATTTAAAAAGATGAGCATGGAGATCTGAGGCAGTGAGTGAGGCCACAATTACCTTGGGCAGGTGGTATCCAGCCAGCGTAGTGTCCACCATCACCTCCCTGGGCACGTTCAGGGGAACAATGTTGCCCATTCTCTGCACCTCATGGATGACAGCGTTGGTGTAGGGCATGGACTCTCGAGCTGCCGTGCTTGGCTGCTGCCATTGGCCAATCACCCTGTCAATCTCAGCCTGTACTTTTTCTGGAAAAGCAGAGAACTTTCTATTATTCTAATATTCATTACCCTCCTTGAGCCTGGTTCAGCTAAGGAATGAAATAACCAGGATCAAAATGGCTAAAGTTATAGCAGGCTGTGTAGACAGTAGTTTCTCAGGGAAGTACCTGAGTGCAAAGTGGGTGCTGATTTAAGACAAATCTGGTTGCAAATTCTTCCTCCTCAATATTCCTGCTGCAAGTTACGGATACCCTTGAGCCTCAGTGTCCTCTTCTTATTAGTGAGGATAAATCTACCTTCATCTTTAGGATGTCTTGAGATTTACATGAAATGATTTAGGGACATATACAAGAAATGAAAAAAACCTTCTAATCATGACCCAATATCTCTTTTCCAATTTTTTGTTGTTGTTGTTGTTGAATAATAGAGATTTTATCTGGATTCCTAGTTCTCCAGCTAAAGACTATAATTCCGATTCCCTGTTACTATGTTCTGGCCAATAGAATGTATGTGGAGAATGTTTACACTTGGAACCTGCCCTTCTTGTTAGGGTGTGTGATTCCTTCTCCTTCTTCTCTTCCCACTGGTGGAAAGGCAGCCTCAGTGGGGAGCAATCTTTGTAACTGCAAACAGGGCATCACTGTAGATACAAAAGAGAAACACACTGGAAGGACTTTGGACCCCAAAAGGTTCTGCAGAGTCCAGCTGAGATTTTTCACCTGAGAGAAAAATACACTTCCTTTATTTTTTAACAGACCATTGAAAACCTATAAAAGTTGTTGTAAAATACACATAAAAATTAACATCTTAACCACTTTTACATGTACAGTTTAATAATGTTAAGTATATACACATTGTTGTACAACCAATTTCCAGAAGAGTTTTTTAATCTTGTAAAACTGAAACTCTACATCCAAACAGCCATAACTCCCCATATTCCTCATGCCTAGCCTCTGACAACCAACATTTGACTTTCACTTTCTATGAATTCAACCACTCAAGATAGCTGGTATAAATAGAAACATACAGTTAAGGTCCTTTATTGACTGGAATGTTAAGTGTAGTCTCATGTCCTCTAGGTTCATCTATGTTATAACATATGTCAGAATTTTTCCGCCTTAAGGCTAGATAATACTCCATTGTATTTCACATTTTATTGGTCAATTCATCCATCAATACACACTTGGGTTGATTCCCCGTCTTATGTCATTGTAATCCATTGGTATTTTGGAACCTCTAAGAGAGAAGCCAAATCTAGACCTAACTAGGTGGCTTTTAATCTTAAAAAAAATTCTATAATTCACAGTGCAAGTGAATTTTACATCACGACTCAGGACACATGAACAAAAATATAACAGATACAATACACAGGTATGTATATAAGGAAAGAAATAAAATTTCATTAAAAAAAAACTTATCCTGAGTAAACAGGCAGCACTCTAATCTTTTCTAATGTATTTTTCTTTAATTTAGAAAAAAGAAGTTGGTCTTGATCCGCTAAATTGATTTTAAGGTCTGTTAATAAACTGTTATCCCACTTAAAAAACCTGTATTACAACAGTTTTATCCTCCATATGCCCAAAGTGTTCTTGGGCCTAGAGAAAAAAAAATATTGAAACAGTCACTGTCCTTAAATAGACTGAAGCTTGTGGAGAGGATATTTAAATAATTCAGGAAAAGGAAAGTGAAGGAGGTGGATTTGGTTATCTCCAAAGGAAGGAAATGATAGTAGTTTCACAGAAAGTGGGGAAACTTCATAGAAGAAGTTGTGTCTGAGTAGATTCTTCCAGCATAGCTAGTGGCTTAAAGTGTAAAGAAATCAGGGAAATATTTTCTTGTTATTATTCTTCTGGGGAGGAGCAGGTATGACGGCACAGAGGCATAAATTAGGACAGTGCAGTGAAAACCACATGTCATTTAGTGAGGCCACCATGTTGGGTGAGTAGGGTTGAGGCTGAACAGGCAGGAAGGGGCACATCAGAGGGCAGGATACACCGGACTCAGTAGTCTGAACATCATCCACAGGGCAGTGGAAGACATGACTTAACAGGAGGGAAGGCTATGACCAGGTTTCACAAATGAATAGAATGTAACTCTTTCTGGAAACTCACCAAGATGTCCATGGACCTCACTGTTTTCCCCACTAGACTGGCAGTTTCCTGAAGTCAGGGACTCTCTGTTATGTTTATAGTACGTGGACCCATCACAGTCCTGACAGAAAAACTGAAGAATGTGCCCGTTCTCCAGTCCACCTGGTGCTGTGACTGTCCTACCATCTCTCCATCCTACCATCTGTCTTCTGGCCCCAACTTTGGGAAGTGTCTTCCAGGAGCACCATCCTGACCTGGTCCAGCCACACCCACTGACAAGCTCACCTTGGATTTCTGGGTGCAGGGCCATGTAGAGCAGACCCCAGCACAGTGTTGTTGAAGTTGTCTCTGTTCCAGCAAAGAAGAGGTCCAGGGTGATATAGATAAGGTTTTCTTCATCGAAACTTGAGGTGGCATTGCCCTTATGCTAGAAAGCACAATGTTTATTGGTTTAATTAGATGTTTTTGGGTTTGTTTTTTTTTTTGCCACAATACAAAACGGCTTCATCCAAGAGAGAATGTGGAAGGAGAGACCTCCACCCCCAGGAGAAATGACTTCCCTTTGGCCAACTCAGGAGGATGGAATATCATTAACATCCTCCTGCCCAAAGTGCTGGATGTTTTGTTACCTTTCTTGGATGAAAATCAAAATAACTAATTTTTTTATGCCCATAATTTGTTAGAATCTAGTAGTAGACTTGGAAAACAGCCTGGGGTTCCAACATTAGCCACATCATTTACTATCTGTGTGACCTGAGCAAGTTACTAACCCTCTCTGTGCCTCAGTTTCCTGTTTGAGAAAATAGAACTAACAATACTCACCCCTTATGATGGCATTATGAATTACGTGAGATACAAAGGCGGTAGCAAACACTCAACACGTGCTTGTACTGAAAGAATACAGTGAATTTCTGTGAAGTACAACAATTCTCATATCTCCCTGTTATCCTTTTCCTTTCTAGCTTAAACTCTGTGATTCCAACAACCATTCCTCATGGTTCTCCAGCATCTTTGTCACCTTCCTCCAGAAGCTTCCATGTGTCAACATTTCTCTGCGTGTGGTCCCACATCTGCACACCTTACAGAGGGTGAAATCTCCTCCTCTGAGGAGAAACCAGTGCTTCTAGTAACGTTATGCTAATAAGGAGAAATAAGAGAGGAGATGGAAAGAAATCTACCACTCTGTCAACTCCAGGAGAGGAATAAACGATCTGATGAGTCAAGGATGATGACAGGGATGCAGTGATGTGTATTAACCAGAGGGGTTACCACATGAAATGCTGTACATTCATTTTGGCTTTTTTCCCGCTTCTTTCCTACATTGTTGGAAAGGGATAATATGAGGATGAGGGAAGAAGGGAAAGTCTCTCCCATCTGAAGCTGAACTCTGGCATCAGGCTCAGCTTTACTTGTGTTCTGGGCTGGGGAGCTGAGGGAAGGGGTAGGGACCTGGGCATTAGTCCAACTATAATGACACTATACTTTCTTTTCCTTTTGTGTATCTGCTTCAGATTTGGATAAAAGGTAAAGAATAGACTATGAAAAGGCAGTATTTCAGGTTTCAAAGGCCTAAAGAAAAATACCATTAAACTTTCTTCTTTAAATTTAAATATTAATTTAAGATTTTGTGAATTCTTTTCTTTTTTAGTTGAGTATAGTTGATTTCTATCTTTATTTGTTTTTTATTGAAGTAATTAAGTTTATTTATTTAGTTTTTTTAACTTTTTTTATGAAGTTGTAGTCATTTTACAATGTTTTGTCAAATTCCAGTGTAGAGCACAATTTTTCAGTTATACATGAACATATATATTTTCATTGTCATATTTTTTTCCGCTGTGAGCTACCATAAGATCTTGTATATATTTCCCTGTGCTATACAGTATAATCTTGTTTATCTTTTCTACATTTTGAAATCCCAGTCTGTCCTTTCCCACCCCCCACTCCCTTGGCAACTACAAGTTCACAAATGACAAATGCTGGAGAGGCTGTGAAGAAAAGGGAACCCTCCTATACTGCTGGTGGGAATGCAATTTGGTGCAGCCACTGTGGAAAACAGTGTGAAGATTCCTCAAAAGACTAGGAATAGACTTACCATATAACCCAGGAATCCCACTCCTGGGCATATATCCAGAAGGAACCCTACTTCAAAATGACACCTGCACCCCAATGTTCATAGCAGCACTATTTACAATAGCCAAGACATGGAAAGAGCTTAAATGCCCATCCACAGATGACTGGATAAAGAAGATGTGGTATATTTATGCAATGGAATAGCATTCAGCCACAAAAACTGACCATATAACGCCATTTGCAGCAACACGGATGCTCCTAGAGAATGTCATTCTAAGTGAAGTAAGCCAGAAAGAGAAAGAAAAATACCATATGAGATCACTCATATGTGGAATCTAAAAAACAAACAAACAAAACAGAAATACAAAACAGAAACACACTCATAGACATAGAATATCTTTATTACTAATTGTCTTATCAGTTATGAGTTAATTATATTCCTCCACTCTATGAATCACTGACTCTAATTCACTCCTCTGTGCTGGACTGAATAATGAACCACAGAGATGACCACAACCTGATCTCTGGAACCTGGAGATGGTAGCTTATGTGGCAGAAATTAAGGAACTTGATATGGGAAGATTATCCTGGATCATTTCAGGGAACCCAATATATTCACAGGAGTCTTTAAAAGAGGGAGACAAGAAGAACATAAAGAGAAGATGTAACATTGGTGGCAAAGAAGGTGCTACATTGATGACTGTGAAGATGGAGGAAAGGGCCGTGAATCAGGGGGTACAGGCAGCCACTACAGGCTGGAAAAGTCAAGAAAATGTTTTTTTCCCTAGAATTTCCAGAAGAAGACAGCCCTTCATCACCCTGATTAGTCCATGAAGCTGGTTTCAGACTTTTTATATTTAGAATTATAAAAGAAAAAATTGTGTTCTGTTAAGCCCCCAAGTTTGTGGTAACTGGTTACAGCAACAATTAGACACTCAAATCCTCTCATTTGCTCTTTAGGAACAGAACTCACGAAAGAACTCTGGATTCCTCACCTTCTCTGTTTCCTGGAGGTAAGCATCAATGAAGTCTCTTGCTTCAGCAGGATTCCAGCCTCTCTTGTGGTTTTCAATCACCTGGGCAACAAACATTTTCAGTTTCTCCCAGTTTCTAAAGACCCTTTGGTGGGATCCAGGGAGGAAGTTCATTATCCACGGAAAGATATCGTACAGCTGATTAAGAAAACAAAACACTCATGATCATAAGGTGGTACCAGTTTTCCACTTTTTAACACACTATAACCATCCCGTCTTTCCATCTCCATTTTCTGATTATATTTAACCTTTGGAGTTACAATCCAGTTTTCTTATCTCTCACATCCTTCTTCTTAACTTCTGTGACCAAGCATGAATGCATCCATCCACAATACATCCAGTGTCAGACGACCCATCACCACTCCAACTGCTTTGTCATCCCTGTATAATCCACCAGAATGTCCTACCTGGATGCTGTAAGAGCCTTCAACAGTTTTCCTGATTCCATCCTTAATCCTGTTCAGCTCAGCTCCAAGGGGGATCATTTAACAGTTTAATCGATCATTTCACTTTTTTTTTAACTGAAGCGCAGTCAGTTACTTTCTGTCTCTCAAACCTCCAATGACTTGCCATGACATTTAGACAAAATTCTACCTCATTCTCCTGGCCTGTAGCTCTACATGAGCTGGCCCCTCACACACCTGTCTCCTCCTCTGCTATCCTCCTCGCCATCTTCCTCTGTCTTACTCTTTCCAGTGCAGCCTCATTGGCCTCTGTGGTAACACCCAGGATGTCCTTGTTTAGGTCCTTGCATTTGCTATTCCTTCCACCTGGAATGGTCTTCCTCTGAAATCTGCACAACTCCAGCCCCTTACTTAATAAAAGTCCTATTCCAAGGCCACTTACTTGGGCCTGTCTTACCCAGTGATCCTATAATTAGCAGAACTTCTTGCAGTCTCTTTCCATTACTTTATTTTGTTTTATTTTCCTTCTTGGCAATTATCACCAGTATGTGTGTGTGTGTGTGTGTGTGTGTTTGCATGTGTGTAAAACATGTCTATCTGTCTATGCATACTTGTATCTATCTATTTTAAACACATATATATTTATTTTTTTGTCCCCATTATGATGTAATCTCTGTGTGAGTAAGATATTTGAAGGGTGAAATATAGTACTTTTTTGAATATATTTTCTCTCATAATATCAGGTCAAAAAGAGATAGCATAACATAGTGGAAAGTGACCGAGGTTTAAAGAGAAGCTGGCAGGAACTGGACTATTAGCTCTGTTGCTTTCCAGTTATAATACTTTGGTAATAATACTAGTAGTACTAATGGTAAAAATGTGGCTTCTCACTACTTAAACTGGCTGCCAGTCAGGCCTGAGGGTTATTTTGGAGACCACATGACTGGAGCTCCACCCCGCACTTAACACAGAGCCTGTGGACCACTATGTGGATTTGCTTAACATGATGATATCTCCTTGCACACATCAGGATGTTTTATTTCATCTTAAAGGACTGTTGGAAAAAGTCAACAGAGATAAAGTGTGTGTAGTTGTCCATCAAAATACCTGGTCTCCTTTGTGTCTCTAAGAAATGCTTCTACCCCTGCCCCACTGCCCCATCCTACTCACCCACCCCACCCAGGAAACTGTCTTCCCCAGGAACAGGCAGCTTTGTATCCTCTGAAATCTCATGACTTTCTAGGCTTTATTTTAAGAAGAGGAAAGAAAATGGAAATACTGAATGGGGGCCTACCCTGATTAGAAGTGAGAACAGGGAACGTTATTCAAAAATAACACTGACAATAATCATAAAAGCCCACATTCATCAGGCCGCTTTAATGTGCCAGGACTCATAGGAGCTGCTTTATCACCTTTGGTGTGATGGGTCCAGAAAGCTCCAGACAAAGATGCTTGTCAGGAATAAATAACAGCAAACCCTCTTCTAGACACCGGAGAGGAGACCTCAGCGCCTGGGGCTGATTATCCCTAGAAGTTCCTTCCAAATCCAGAAAAGAGGCTGAGAGACCAAGAAGCTGAGCAGAGTTACTGACAGACTCACAGGCCCAGCAGGACAGAGGAGGAGGGCAGGCCCAGCAAAGAAGGGTTGAGGCTTGAACCCCCTACGTGTATACCTGACAGAAGTAGATGATTGACCACATCCAGAGCGGATGGGCATGTAAGGAGTGCAGCTGCTTGGGGAACCGTTAAGTACTATTTATGTCCAAGTGAATCTGCAAGAGAAATGGAAGGATGTGCCCACGTGAACGAGTGCACAAAAATGTTCACAGCAGCTTAATCACAACGTCCCCACAGTGGAAGTCACCCAAGTAGTCATCAGG